GCTGGGAAAACAGAGGTTATTCCCATAAAAAACAGTCGCACTTAGATTTATGGTCGTGGGGTTGATTTCTGGGCGTGGGTTCTGAGGCTGTTCTATCAAACCTTGTAGCATTATCATCAGGAGGCTCTCCTTGCCATGGGACCCAAGCTGAAATGTCAAGACATGAGTTCAGTCATCTCGGGCTTACTGCCTAACTCCAATTCCCAACAACCAGCCCAAATTACACACACCCTTAAACACATACGCCCGACAGGAATAAGAAGTTGAACATCCTCATATGGGAAGTGATCATTCAAGATTGAAGCCCACAGTTTCATATACCTCGATCGGATCCATAAGCCTCAAACCCTGAACCACAGAACGAATGCATTTAATCAAGGAAGGGACCCTAAACCCTAAACCCTAAACCCCTAAATCCCAAAACCTCCCTGAAGGACACCGAGGGGCCTGCAGTCATCAACCCCAGGAATTAGACTCATGCCCGAAAGCCCATGACAGCTAGGATACCCCATATGATCCGTCATTCCCTGAAACCCTAAGCCTTAAGCCCCTGCATGTTTCTTCGCCTGGCGGCCGATTGCCAGTGCGCTGGAAGCTCAGCCCAAAGGAAGGTTCACAGCCCCAGTTTTCAATTAAGTTCAGGGTCTGCTTTAGCTATCGATCTTGTATATGGGAACACCTTATTATATAAGAGAATCATAGCTCAAGCTGGCAGAATACGGAGGCTACCTTCCATTAGCTGGGAAGTTCATAGCGCGTAGCTACTAAGTACCTCTGGATTGTCCTGAGGCATTGCAATCTGGGATTCACACGCCTGCTCAAACGAGCAACCCTTCCCACAAAATCCTCGTCCTGGAACGTGCATTCAGCCAGCGGGTTGAGTATGAAGGTCAAGAGACTAGATTTTCGGACGAGGTCCAAGCATACGTGATGAAAACAATGGAGCTTCGGAACCATGTTGTACCGACATTTCTGTGCATCAAAGGAGACCCTTGCAAGTTTCGCATAACAGGCCAAAAAGTACAGCCCATCTTCTCCGCAGTCTGCGGCCACCGCTTGCTTTAGCCACAATCCAGACCGGAGCAAGTTCTGCATAAATCTGGACATAGCATCACAAGCACTAGCCATGATCTGAAGCACCCGCTGGGAATTGAGGATGACATTGTTTCGACGCAACACCCAGCCCACAAACTCAATCAGAACCGGAGTATCGAATGCCTTGTTCCAATGCCCAGCCGGAAAGACTTTGTCTGAATCAAATCCCAGAATATCCCGTGTAAGAAGCTTGAAGTGTACTTGTTTTCTCGATGATGCCAAATACTCTTTCAAATCAGCATTCATCTTCACCAGCCTCTCAGGGACTGTGCCCTCATAGACGAAATCCAAAATCGCCACCAGGGAGCTTGCAGCAAAGTCACGACCGATTCCTAGATGGTAGATGTGCAGAAGGTCAAGTTTGAAAAATGACCCCTTGTCATCCAGTACATGTGGCACACGCTCGAGGAAGGGTGCAATGGTTGTCCACGGAAGTTCATTGTTGGGACCAGTAGTAGTCAGCCAAGCTGGCGACCGGGTAAACTCCTCAAACGGCACAGCACTTGTGCCTGCGGCGCATTTCCAACAACAACCAGTCAAAGCCTTGGACTTGGGTCCCTCCGGACCTTTGCGAATATGTAGGAAGGTGCGGTTGAGATGACCTGCTTTCACCAAAAATGGTAAATCGCCCTTTAGCCCCAATACTAAGAATCGCAGCACGCGATCATCACGAACCCTCAAGCCACTGTAGTAGAGGGCTTGAAAGTCTTCAAAGGCCACATCGATGAACATGTCAAAATGTGCAGGCGTGGTCTTA